AAGTTTTTAAAATAGTTGTACCAAAAATAGTTGTACCAATTGGTATGTACCAATTTTACGTACATACCATACCAGCAGTGTATGAAAGTTCTTCATTCCCACTAACGCTAGATGTTGTTTGTCTTTTTAATTTTAGCCATTCTTTGGGTTACTAGTTGTCATTTAAGAACAACAACAACAAGAGTAATAAATTGCCAGGTATCTTATAGGAGCTTCTCACCAGCAATCTTTTGCGCTAGTTTATTTTACTGATTTTTTTCTTGGTTTATATAACAGTATTTATTAATTTAAGCATGTATTGTACTGCCGTAGGTAGTGTTACTGAGCAATGAGCTTGCTATCTGGAACAAATACTGTGGCACTGGCTTTTGAGAAAAGAAAAAGCTCTATTTTAAAGTCAACTGACAAGGAGACAGGAGGCAACACTCAAATCTGTCTCTTTGAACTGAAGTCTAGGGTAGGTTTTATAGGCAGAGAGTAGCTATGAGGGAGATAGGAAAATGCAACAAGGCATGGTATATTTGGTCACAAAGGGGCAGTGCAGGCTCTTACCCTTGGTTCATACTGCAAGAAAACAGGGCACCCCTTGCGTCTAAATTTGCTCCCTTTTCCTCATTGTGAATGTGTAGGGTCTGCCAGTGGTTGACTTTTCATTCTAGCCAGCTTTGGAGTCACAAATTGGGAAGGCTTAGGTCATCAGGGCATGCTCAGATTATGTGACCTGCTACCTGGGGGTCCATCCCAGTTGAAAAGCCATCTCAACATTTGTTACTGACAGAGTTGAGCCAATTGGACTGGTTCTGTGATAACAGTAGATCATTGACAGAAGTCCAGATTCTTAGGATTACTCAGAAGATTGAATTTCTAGGATGTAATAAGATACTGAAGTTTGCTTTGCGAGTGTTATATTTGCAGGGGAAAGAGAAGGGGAGTGGTTAAGAGTGAGTTAAGATGAATGTTTGTTTTCAGTTTGTTTTAGTCTTGAGGCCACTAAGAAACTACTCTATTTAGTTCCTGAATTTGTAGCTATGTGGTAGTTTAAGCCTATAATCCCAGCTACTCCAATAGGCTGAGGTAGGGAGGATCACTTGAGGCCAGGAGTTAAAAGACACCTGGGCAACATATTGAGACGCCCATCTCTAAAACAATTTTTAGATCATCAGCCCACAAAGCTCAATTCGTGTTCAGTGCTCCTTCTCCTTCACACTGGAAGATCCAGGTGCCACAGTCACCACAATGTTTGTAAAGAAGATGCTGGTACAACATGGAAGTCAGGAAATAGAACTGTTGACATTTAGGAATGTGGCCATAGAATTTACTCCAGAGGAGTGGGAATACCTGGACACAATTTGTATAGGGATATGATGTTAGAGAACTACAGAAACATGGTCTCTGGGGAACTTGATCTCACTAAGCTGGACCTGGTGAACATCTTGAAACAAATCTTGAAACATACCTCTTGGTATGTAATGATAAGAAATAGCAGCCAAACACTCAGTACTACCATCTGCAATAATCAGTCTTTTGAAAGTCCCAGAGAAATCCAAGAATTTGAATTAAGTGTTCAGTCAAATATTTTTGAAGAGGAAAGAATTAAAATTGAAGAGAATATTTAAAAATTTTATTTTTATTTATTTAGTTTTATTTTGAGACAATCTCAAGCTGTCCTCTGGGTGGAGTGCCTTGGCATCATAGCTCATAGCAGCCTCCAACTTTTGGGCTCAAGAGATCCTCTTGCCTCAGTTTTTCTGCTTTTAGTAGAGGCAGGGTCTCGCTTTTGTTCAGGCTGGTCTTGAACTCATGAGCTCAAGCTATCCACCAGCCTCAGCCTCCCAGAGTACTAGGATTACAGGTGTGAGCCACTGCTCCCAGCCCACACAGTTGAGTCTTTTTTTTAAAATTTTATTTATTTATATATTTTGAGACGGAGTCTCACTTTGTTGTCCTCGGTAGAGTGCTGTAGTGTCACAGCTCACAGCAACCTCAAACTCTGGGCTTAAGCAATTCTCTTGCCTCACCCTCCCAAGTAGCTGGAACTATAGGCGCCCACTACAGGGCCCAGCTATTTTTTTGTTGCAGTTGTCGTTGTTTAGTTGGCCTGGGCTGGGTTCAAACCCATCACCCTTGGTGCATGTGGCCGGTGGCACCGTAACCACTGTGCTATGGGTTTTAAGCCCCCCCCACAAGTTTCAATTAGTCTGGCATGGAAGTGAGCACCCATCATCCCAGCTACTTGAAAGGCTGAGTTGAGAGGAGTGCTTAAGCCCAAGAGTTGGAGGTTGCAGTGAGCTATGATTAAAGCCTCTGACTCCAGCCTGGGAGACCTCACTCTTTAAAAAACAAAACCCCCTGCTTTTTAGTCTGGAAGCAGTGACTTGTGAATCAGGCTTCTGTTTTTGCTTTTCAGTGAGGTACTGGCGGAGGAATCTATAGTATGTCTCCAGAAAGCCCTAAATCATCTTCGGGAAATATGGGAATTAATTGGGATTCCAGAGGACCAGAGATTACAAAGAACAGAGGTTGTCAAGAAGCATATCAAGGTGAGTTAAGTAGTTCTGGTCTCTTGCAGTGCAATGGGGTAAGGATGTTAGTGTTGCCCCTGCAATAGCATACATAAGTGACATTTGATCACTGCACTAGAATATCATAGGTTCATCCTGATTTTTTTTAATCCTTTCTTGAAATTCTGAAATAAGAGAGTTTTCCTATTTTTTTTTCCCTTGTGGGCCATTTTTGAGACTATTTTCTCTCTTGTAGGAACTCCTGGACATGATGATTGCTGAGGAGGAAAGCCTGAAGGAAAGGCTCATCAAAAGCATATCTTTCTGTCAGAAAGAGCTGAATACTCTGTGCAATGAGTTACACATAGAGCCATTTCAGGTCCATGGCACTCTATCAGGTTTGGGGGAGTCTGGCTTGGGTCTGAGGTTTAGGAAGGAGCATTATTTGGGGTTGTAGGCAGAAGGCTTACTGGTAGGAATGGTGCTAGGCATGGGAAGTGTAGAAAATGTGGTGGCTACTTAATTAGTCCACAGCAAAGTAATTTTCACAGATGTAGAGGGAGGTAAGGCAACTGATAGGTAATCAGAACAATTGCTTTTGCTGTAGTTTTGCTTGGGAGGTCATATTGAATTTATAAACTTTGAGGTAGGCACATATGGCACCGTGCTGTTCTTTCTCTGAAAGAAAATGAAGAGTTATTTTGGAAGCAAAAATAACTAGTGCTATGAGGGAATGTTCAAGAAGGAAAAAAAAAATAAGAACTTTGTGGGTTTTTTATACCCAAGAAGCTTCATACCACTGACCCAGCAGTGCACAATCCAGAGCATGCCATGACTGTCATCTGTGTGTGTGAGAGGTTGTGATGTTGTGGTCCAGTACAAGTTAGGAACTGATGAATAACAGATAGGCCTGGAAACTACTCTCTGTTTAGAATCAGTAAAAACAGTGCCACGATTATAAAAGTTAGTATAGATGTGGAACTTGGAGAAGTGATGCTGCACCAGTAGGTTCTCAGGTCTTTTTCTTGATTTGACAACAGGAAAAATTACCTAGGTATCCACATGGAGACAGCCTAGGAGGGGGACCACCTTTATAGGCTTAAGGATAGATAATTTATATATGGCAGCCAAGAGCAATCAGACCATGACATGAGTGGGGTTTCCTGGAATCAACATAAATGGCATAAATATAATTGATTTTGGACAACTAATTTTTCTTTTTTTTTCTTTTTTCAATGTGAAATTGGGTGAGAAGTTAGGTGTACAGAGGTACATCTCCCTCAAGTTACTTTGCAGTTCCTATTACACCAATGTTAAATGAAATCCTGCAAGTTTATAGGACATATTACTGCCACTTTTCTCTTCTTTTTACCAGTTAAGAGATGAACAGTAGCTACTAAATTGATTTTTATTGCTAAAGTGATAGTGATAGGATTATTAGCATGAGCATTTAGCTATGAGGTAGATATGTCATCCTATAGCTACCCCAAAGCTTTCTAACCCATTTATACTTCTTGCAAAAGTGATCTGGTACACAGAGTAGTCAAATTCATAGACAGCAAGTAAAATGATGGTTGCCAGGGGACTGGGGAAGGGAAAAATAGAGACTTGTTAAATGAGTAGGAAATTCAAGATGAGATGAGTTTGGAGATGGATGATGTTGATAGTTACACAGCAATATATGCCAATCCACTTTGGTTAAGATGGGCTGGGTGCACTGGCTCTTACTTAGAATCCTACCACTTTGGAAAGCTAAGGCGTAAGAATCGCTTGAACCGGCTTGGCGCCTGTGGCTCAAGTGGCTAAGACGCCAGCCACATACACCTAAGGTTGGCGGGTTCAAATCCAGCCCGGGCCCGCCAAACAACAATGATGGCTGCAACTGAAAAAAAATAGCCAGGCGTTGTGGCGGGTGCTTGTGGTCTCAGCAACTTGGGAGGCAGAGGCAGGAGACTCACTTGAGCCCAGGAGTTGGAGGTTGCTGTGAGTTGTTATGCCACAGCACTCTACCCAGGGGGACAGCTTGAGGCTCTGTCTCAAAAAAAAAAAAAGAATCACTTGCACCAGGAGTTTGACACCAACCTGGGCAACATAGACCCTGTGTCTATAAAAGGTGAAAAAAAATTAGCCTGTTATGCTAGTGCATGCCTGTAGTCTCAGCTTCTTGGGAGGCTAAGGTGGAATGATCACTTGAACCCAGGAGTTAGAGGTTGCAGTGAGTTATGATTGTACCACTGTATCCCAGCCTGGGCAACAGAGCAATACCCTATCTCAAAAAAAAAAAAGAAAGGTTAAGATGGCAGATTTTATGATGTATTTTACCACAATTTTAAAAATTGGAAAAAAGAAAAGAAAAAGTGCCCTAGTACTTATTCACCTTTCCTTACCGGGGCCTTCCCTAACGAGGAGGGAAGACCCCTTCTCTAAAAATAGCCAGGCATTGTGATGGGCACCTGTAGTCCCAGCTACTGGGGACGGTGAGACAAGAGGATTGCTTGGGTCTTGTGTGCCTTGGGAATACTAGGGTCTTCCACTGGCCATGAGTTGACCTATAGGTAGGTTACAAATAAAAATCTGTCATCTTAGCCCTTTTCCATTGTCCTTTTTTTCATGGGAAGGAACTCACTTGGAACCTTATATCAGTGATACATTGTCTTATACAGGAAGAAGGAAAGACAACCATCTTGCAACTAGAAAAAGATTTGCGCACACAAGTGGAATTCATGCGAAAACAGAAATGGGAGAGAAAACAGGAACTAAAACTACTTCGAGAACAAGACCAAGAACTGTGTGAAATTCTTTGTATGCCCCCTTATAATACTGATAGTGCCTCTGTCCCCAGCTTAGAAGAGCTGAATCAGTTTAGACAACATGTGGCAACACTGAGGGAAACAAAGGTATATTGCCTACATGCACACTTCGTAAAGGTCTGTTTGGCTTTCCTCTGAGTTACTTGGAACTGTTTTGTTTTAGGCATCTCGGCACCAGGAGTTTGTCAGCATAAAGAAACAGATCATACTGTGTATGGAAGAATTAGATCACACACCAAACACAAGCTTTGAAAGAGATGTGGTGTGTGAAGATGAAGATGCTTTCTGTTTATCTTTGGAGAATATTGCAACACTACAAAAGTTGCTTCGGCAGGTAATATTTTTTTAAATTTCAGCCTGGGGTCTCTCCATTGAACATGGCAGTTTGAAAAAAAAAATGACAGTTTTTTCTGCAGTCTCAAATAAGGAGCCAATGTACGTTAAAAGAATAAGAAAGGATAAGGATAGTAATATATGACATACAACTTTGATTTTGTTTTTTTAATTTACATGTAGTTCTAAGAATATGAAATTGAAATTTTGGATGAAATCAGCCATTTGATTAGCCTAGTGTTTAATTAAAAATTATTCTTTTTTTTCTTTTTTTTTTTTGAGACAGAGCCTCAAGCTATCCCCTTGGGTAGAGTGCTGTGGCATTACAGCTTATAGCAACCTCCAACTCCTGGGTTCAAGAGAGTCTCCTGCCTCTGCCTCTC